GCAACATAGCATATCATCCCAATAGCATTGTTTCCTTTGAACAGGGGGGCCATGGCCTCTTATTGTTTACAAATAGATCCGTCCCTGACTACATGCATACCAATGTGAATATTCACATTGCAACATGAAAATATAAAACAAAAGTGAAAAAAGTGAAAATATATACTATTTCGATTGTTCAATGGTAACAAAAATTATTGTTCAACTAACAAGTATATAGTAACAAAAACAACAAACATACAACTAATTTTCGAAAAAATAAAATTCATACCAAAATATAGTGTGAATGTTCATAGTTTACAATTAATATACAATTAGCCTTAAAAAAAATTATACTCACACCAAATATGACCATTCACACTATAACGTGAAAATACAAAACAAAATTAAAAAAGTAAAAATCAACTATTTCGATTATTCAATGACAACAAGAATGATTGCTCAACTAAAAAGTATAGTAGTAATCAATACACAACAAATCATCAAACAATATATAAAAAATCATCAAATAGTTCAAACATATTGAGGCATATTTTTTTAAAAAAATTTGTATATAATTAATCCCGGCATAATACCAGCGAATAAACTACACAAACCGACAAAGAGATTACAATTTATGTATAACAATGGCAACAAAAAAAAAAAAAAAATTTATTGCCGGTTTACTATCATCTTTGCTGCATGTCCATCATCATCTCTATCATTGGTCTACATTTATAACTAACCTTCTCTTTCAAATATTCTTCAATAGTAGGACCTTATTATAAAATAATGGTGAATGAAGATTTTTGATCAAATGAATCCCTCACATTGAGACAAAAAAAATACTAAGATTAATAATCTTCTATATTTATATACAGTATTAGATAATATAAGTAAAAACGTTATTGATTCATTGAATCTCAAAGTTCTAACTCTATTTTTATATATTTTTGAATTAAAAATTTATAAAAATACGTGTGACATATTATCATTAGTTCTTCTATTTTAATATTTTAATTAAATCATTGATTAATATGGAATTTTTTTTTTAAATTTACAAATTTATGAACTATTTATAGTATCTATTATCATTACTATCTTAATCTATATTTATAAATTTAAATTTCAAAATTACTTACATAGAAAGTAAAAAATGAATTTTAGCCATATCTTTTATCAAATCTAAGTCATATCTAATTTCAAATATTTAAAAAAAAAAAAATATATCGAATATAATTTTTATCCTCATTAAAAAAAAAATTAAAATAATATTTCAAATGGAATTTTATCCTTATAAAATTTGAACATATTTATTTTTAAAAAAATAAAATATAAATTATTGGCCTATCTAACTATATCTAACTTTAAATTTAAAAAAAATAAAAAAATAAATAGAATTCCAAAATAAAGATTTAACCATACTTAACCACTAATATAAAATTTAGAAGAAAATTGAAATGAAATTTTAATAATAATTTATAAAGGGTTATAAAATTCAAGTATCCATGTTATGTCATCTAAGACCATCTCCAGTGGTTTACCAAATATGTCATAAAATTTAAATTTGATAAAAAAAAATACTCAATTTTTGCTTCCCCAACCCAATACCAAATCTTTTATCAAATTCTGGATTTCTTAAATCTTTCATCAAATAGAGGATGGATGTGTCTTTTATCAAATCATTATTCATAGTCGTTGGATTTTCACTACCGGATGTCCCCTAGATAACCACCTCAAGATAAAATTTTGTGAAAAAATTACACTGGCCGATCTACCAACCGGACATTTACCCGGTCGTCCGCCCGATTGACCGGTGTTCTCTTGATATCAAATGAAGTTTTTATTCAAATTTTTACTAAAATTTAATATATATATATATATATATATATAAATACACTATTTATAAATACACCATTGGAAATACTCTAACAAATTATATTGTTATGTCATCTAACAAATTTTGATATGATAAATTATAATTATAAAATTTTATAGATATAATATAATTATGCTTAATAGAAAGCAGTTTTGAAATTTATGCAAATTTATTTGCTTCTAATTTGATACATGTATTTTATTATAGAACAAAATACTAATAGAAGACTTAAATAATGACTGAAACTTACTTAATCTTATTCATTTTTATTTTTAAAAATTATTTCTAATTTTTTGAATCATTGTCTAAAACCATGCATTGTACGGGCTTTACTCTAATGTTATATATATCATAAATGAAAAATATTTAACAATAATTTTATCTATACTATATATATATACTAGCGTATGCCCGTGCCTAAAGGCACGGTGTAAATAATATTAAGATTAAAATGTAGTTATAAAAATATATTGAAATATTTTTCTTCTTAAGAACTTGTAACAATTTTACTTGTATTACATGCTTTACAAAACTCAAATAAAATAACAACTCCCCTAATCTTAATGCAAATTAAGAAACAAACATATCAAATTTATAATGTTCACCAATATTGCAAATCAAAATATAAGAGCAAGTAAAAAAAAAATTGTAGACACTGAACAAAAAAACATAAATTAAAGTTGTTGTATACTAAATCTATAATAAAAAGAGAAAAAAAATACTAAATCTATTTAATAAAGCACATTAGTAAGAACAACAAAAGAGTAATTCCAATTTCAAGTGTAAATATAAAAAATTGGTTAGACCAACTCCTCAAAGCTATTTGAAATAAAAAATGTTACACGAATCATCCAAAATCACACAATATAAAAAGTAATGAAACCCAAGGATCTCAAACCTTAAAAACAGGTTATAATTTCTTCTTTGGTGTCCTTTGATGTTCTTGAAATGCAGAAAAATTTGTAGAGCATTATTGTAATAAGAACAACAAAATAGTAATTCCAATTTCAAGTGTAAACATAACAAATTGGTTAGACCAACTCCCCAAAGTTATTTGAAATGAAAAATGTTACATGAATCATCCAAAAGCACACAACATAGAAGAACCAAAATAATGAAACCCAAGGATCTCAAACCTCAAAAACAGGTTGTAATTGCTTCTTTGGAGTCCTTTAGTGACAACTTTTTAAAGATGAATTCAAGTTATTAATTAAGAAAATAAATTCATCAATCTCAAGTGTAATTCATGTTTGAAGTTGTACACATGAATAAGTTGATTGGGTTGATTATATGGATTTTTATATATTAAATTCAATATTTGTCCGAAATAAGAATTAAATTCATCAATCTCAACCACAACCGAGTGGTCGAAACCTCTCCCATCGTATTCTGCTGATCGGGTCAGTTCTTCAAGTAACCCAGATTTATACATTCCCCCTAAAATTATGACGTTTGTAAAACAATAATTAAAAACTATGCTTAGCCTAAACAATAATTAATAAAATGAACAGGTATGCATTTCAAGTTGTAGGCATTTTCCCAATAATTAATAATTAATAAATTGCTAACTTAGTTAATTTTCTAATTTTTTACAAAAAATTAAAATTAAAAATGATAAAATATTTTATAGTGATTTTTAAAATTTTAATTAAAAATTATAATTCCGAAACAGACTTTAAAATTTTATTTTTTACACACCCACCCCAAAGAGCTAAAGGGTTGAGTCGACTCAATTTTTTTTCATTCTCATTCAAACCATAATTCCCAAATGGGTTTCAAATCAAAATTCGATTAGAAGCGGGTGAGTTTTTTTTCATCCGATCTTGTCAAGTGGTTGACCAATTGATTGTAAAATTGAGCCTTAACTCGTGAACTGTACATAACACAATACTATCTTGATTAAAAAAATGTTACATGAATCATCCAAAAGCACACAACATAGAAGAACTAAAGTGATGAAACCCAAGGATCTCAAACCTCAAAAACAGGTTCTAATTAGAAGCACAAAGGCTTCTCAAGGAGGCTCTTGGAACATTAGATGGACATTTGCATCTGTGAATAATATATGCATATGTTGATGACTGCAACTCCCAAATTCACAAAGATGTTACTACTCATGTTGTAAGTTTATTATTGGTTGAAAGCTGTGGATTTAGAATACATTGGAGTTGTAGTTTGGCAAATGACATGCAAAATTAGTGGTGACAGTTTCATTTGTAATTCTCAATATTTGCAGAGCTTGTTATGAGCAACTTTAGCCAGACCTCTAATCCTCTACATAGTAAGTGGGATATATATACTGCTTAATTTATCTGCATTAGTTCTATTGTTTATGTTATCCATCATACACCAAAAGTGCGAGAGGTTGCTGTAAAGAGCTGAAAGACTCAAGTAGCAAACTATTATCAATCCAATGGAAAAAAGGTTTTCCCAATTTCTACATTATAAAAAATAAAAATAAAAAAAAACACCATTTATATCAAATTAGATCTAATTTGTCTCAGAACCTTGAAGCCACTGAAACACCAAAAAAAAACATTGATGCCCATTAATAGAATTCAGAGAAAATGCAAAGAAACTGAAATTGAATCAAATAATTCAAAGAAAATGCAAAGAACTCGTTAAATGTCCACAATCAACACAATTCAAAGTGGTGGGAAAAAGGAATGAATACCTTGGAAGAAGGCGCAAAGACAGACCCAAAAATTTCAGAAGAAGATGAAGGTTACCTTGCAAGCCGAGTTCGAGATGCAAAAATCGAGGACTGGAGAACTGGAGAGCACTATCGGACAAAAACAGATCGATTATCAGAACCTTGAAGCCACTGAAACAAAAATCGGATGGCCATTAACAGAATTCAAAGCTTGTTATGTGTACAACTAACCAATGATGAGCTTGGAATGTGTCCTATGCATTCACAAACACTGGAATGTAGCCCATGCATTAATAGAGAGAGAAGACTAGCTGACCTAATAATAAATAAACTATTAAGTGGCTTGTATAAGGACATGGAAATGAACTCAAAAAAATAGCAAAAAATGTTGAAAATGACTTCTTGACCTCCACCTTCTCTTGAATATTCTCTTTTAATTTATTAAGCAAATTTCTTTGTTCACTGATACATTGATGTTAAATTGTTTATAGAAGCTCTATAAATGGCTTGTTCAATTGCTTATGGCTCTTGACAACTTACATGTGAATCATATTCTTCATCGAGATGTTAAGGTAAGTTGCATCTATCTGTATACCTAAGGATTTATGAATTATATTTCTGAAATTGCATGTTACTAACAGTCTTGTTCTTGCAGTGTTCAAATATATTCTTGGCAAAAGATCAAGACATACGTCTTGGTAAGTGATATGTTTTCTTTCTTTAATAGTCTTGAGAGGCGTCAGTATTTTGCTGAATCACCATTGATTAATCTTGTTGCAGGTGATTTTGGACTTGCTATGATGTTGACATCAGATGATCTTGCATCCTCTGTAAGTCTTGTGATTAACATAACTGGTTCCTTTTTCAAGTTCCAAATTTTGCATTAATTTTATTGTTCAAGATTTCTTTTTTGTAACTCAGCTTGTAGGAACTCCAAGTTATATGTGCCCTGAGCTTCTTGTTGACATACGTTATGGCTCTAAGTCAAACATTTGGTCTAGTGTATGCCCGTACCTAAAGGCACGCCGTAAGTAAACATTTCTCCCATTCTCATCCTCATTATTACATGCCAAAAGGAACTCACCTCTCATCCCACCATCATTGACCACCTATCTCAAACTGTCTGAAACTCTCCTATTCTCCTTACCAATAATTGCAACAAAGCTATAAAAAAATTCAATTCAAGATTGCAATTAGAGAAACGCAGTCAACATCATTAAGCATATCACAGAATCATAATAATTCCATTCCACCGAGGCAATACAATCAAGTATTAACATAATTACCATACATGTAAAACAACTACAGTTTTCACTACCCAACTAATCAATCAGCAAAAATTGACAAATAAAACACAACAAAACAACACCAAATCAACACAACCGACCGAACAAAACTCGAATTTACCTAGCTAAAGCCGATCGCTTTCACTCCAGTTAGTCATCGTCACCGCCCTCCAAATTCTGCTTCCCTCTACTCATAGAGTTCATCCTCTCCATGTACCCCTCAATTTGCAGAACCCCTCAAAATTCACAAATCTGCAACACAAATTCTCTCCAAAAAACCTTAAAAACCCTAACAATCAAACACACAAGTTTCCTGTTCATGGATCTACAAATTTAGCTAGAAAATGAAGGAATGTGAGAGCAAGTAATAGTAATTGAGGGATTGGTGATGATCCAAACACATACCTATATATGCGTGATTGAGAGTTTATAGGGTGTCTTCAAAAAAAATTGAAACCAAAATGAAATTAAAAAAATAAAATAAAATTATTCAACAACAAAGAATAAAGGATTATTAGCTAAAAATACAAATATAATACATATTGTGAACTGTATTATATAACACAAATTAGGTTTTTTTTTAATCCTTTATTCTGGATTATTAGCTAAAAATACAAACAATAGATCTCATGTATTAAACAATGGGATAAAGGATTATATAATCCCAAAAATGGGATTATAGATCTCATGTATATAACAAAAATGGGATCCCACAAATATGTTTAGACAGAAACAATGGGATTATAGATCTCATGTATATAACAAAGGATTATATACAAAAAAAAAAAAATGGGATTAAAAATACAAACAATGGGATTATATAATACAGATTATATGATACAAATATAATACAAATTATTCAACCACAAAGAATAAAGGATTAAGAAGAGTTTACAATTCATGAGATAACTAATAAAATTAAAAGAAGGTACAAAATTTGATATGAGCATAGAGTAAATTGGGCCTTTGGATTAAACAGTCTGAGAGTAATAAAAAATGTTCTATTTTCATTTTTTAATACCTCTATTAGTTGGATCGCCTGATTTCTTTTCAGCAGCAAGACCTGAATCCTCTGTTACAAACCCAAAACAGTTAATCGATTGCAGCAATAGTTTTATATAATATGATAGAGAGAGAGAGGTGTTTTACTTTCGAGTATGGCAAGGGTTTTGGAGAGAAAGAGTTTCTCGTATGGGATTTGGACCAAAATTTTCTCAAATGGTGTGGCCATCGGATTAGCTTCCGATTGCAAAAATCTGCTGCTGCTACTCTCTCTTTCGCCTTTTGTTGAGGAGGAAGAGGATGGGTGAGTTCTGTTAAAGCAGAAAAATAGAGAGATAGAGAGAGAAGATGGGACAGTCGCGAAGTTAGATCAATAGAGACGATGATGATAAGCAGCGGCGGTGGTGGTGAGCGATGGCAGCGGATCGGTGGTGGTGTTTGGTGAAGAATGAAGAAGGGTAAAGAAAACAACAGGAGATCAGGTTTTTTTTTTTTTTTTGAAGAGAGAACGTGAGAGAGAAATGTATAGAGAGGGAGTTGAAAATATGTGTTTAGGCAGACGTGGGGGAGAGAGAAAGAGAGTGTTTAGGTGGGAAACAAATAGATCTCAATCGTTAGATATTGAATAGGATTGATCTAGACCATTTAAATGAAATGTATCTCTCATACAGTTTATACATTTTTAAAAACACTCCTCCCTTATTATATAGATATATATATATTATACTGTAATAAAAGTTTATAATGGTAAATAGTATACATAATACTTTTAATATGGGAAAAATGACCTGTTAAAATATAAATTTAAATGTATGGGACTAGGTAGCGGAGTTATTGGACTAAAATTTCACTAAATAGGATTTATAAAGGGTTTTTTTTTTTTTAAGGTTCCTAGTATTAAGATTTTATAGCATAAAGGACATTCAATATTTTAATAATGTCTAAGGTCCTTTAAGTTGATCCAGAGAAAATTCACGTCACAGAGAAAATTGGTCTGGACTTTTAAGAGAAATTTTGAAAATTTCTCTGACCTTCTCTAAACTTCCCACTGTAAATTTCTCTGCCTTCCCTTTCTCCAAATTTCTCTGCCTTCCATATACTTCACACTCTTCCAGAGTAATTTCTCTTCCTTTCCACAAAATTACATCTCTAGAGAAATTTTAAATTTCTCTGCCCTCCCTGCCTCTCCTGGACTCAACACTCCAGAGAAATTTGAAATTTTCTCTGACTTCAGCTGCCTTCAATTAGTCAAAATGAATCTAGAGAAATTTGAAAACCCAGAGAAATTTGAATTTTCTCTGGGTTTGAGTGAAGAAGCTATAAAGATTTGAAATTTGAAATAAACTCAACCCAGAGAAATTCTCCCTCTCCAACCCAAACCAGAGAAATTCTTCTTCCCCAACCCAGTGAAATTCCATTTTCTGTAATTGGGATGCCAGAGATAGAGGGAAATTTCTCTACTTAATATCATGGGCAGCTTTGTATACATCAAGAAGATAAATACAGAGGGGGGAAAATGCAATGAAGCCTTTACATTACATATATATATATACATACATGGCCAATGAATGCCTTGACATCTTCACCAAACTCATATACTAGCAAAGGGTAGTCACCGGAACGCTGTACTGCGCCGGCAGAAAGTCATACCTCTGGTCAGACATGACGCAGAAAGGATTTGTCAAAACTTCCTCCATGTACTTAGCAACCGAGATTGGCCCACCATGGAACTGAGTATATACCACCACCAATCATGACTTCAACTTCCCAGCTTATTCAAATTATAAAAATAAATAAATAAGTTGCAACAAGAAACTATTTAGACATTTGGGGACATTTATGGAAATTGAATTGGCCATTCTCTTTTCTTAGAATTTCTATAAACAAAGGCATGCATATTAAAATCTAAAGCAAAACACTCGCTTACATGGTACACACATACACATACATTTCCGCAAACACTGAATCGACATTACGACAGCAACAACAAATCCAAAACCTGACGGGGACAAAGAGGAACCAAGATTAAATATATATATATGAAATTGTAGACCTTGATGATGTCTTTGAGGTGCTTAAAAAGCTCAAAATCCGAAGAAGACTCGTGAGAATGCTCTGAATCAATTGAAGAATCAATTTTTCAGTTGAAATTTTCACACAATTGTAGAACATATGCATACATAGAATGGGATGGAGAGGGATTACTGTAGACACCCCATTTTTGACCGTCCTCAAGACTTGGACGTCACCGTTTGAACACTAGATGATCATTCATGTTCATGTTCGTTTTGAGTTCTCGGAGGTTTCGGTCGCGCGCCTTGCCTTAAGACCTCTCGACTTGTTTGTTTTGTACTTGGTTGTACACCAAACACTTGTGTTTTGCTTCTGAGGGCAGAGAATGGCTTGTTGGCCATCCCCACACCTCACCGGCCTTGTCTTGAGGCCACCAGCTCTGTTTTCTTGCTACTGGCCAAATATTTTGGTCGGTCGGCAATGTATTTGGTCGGCCGGCCATTTTTGTTGGTCAATCGGCCATATTTTCCAGCCGACCCCTTTCCATCTTCTTTTGGCAGATATTTTATGCTAGCTGTCACAGCTGGCATCCACAATATCCCCCTTCCATACACGTGTATGGAGGGATTTGCTCCCTTATGTTAGCTTTTCCAAGAAGCTTAGGAATTGGATTCCTATAAGAGGAGGCCTTCTCCTCCCTTTCCAGGGGTTAAACAACTCTGATATATAGCTTATATATCTATATATCTCTCTCTATATAGTTGTGTGTGTATTAGTGTTCTAAAGGGATTTTTGTTCTTAGTTTTGCACTAAGACACCTAGTGTTACATTATAACTTGGTTGATAAGGTTTTAAGGGGTTGATTTCAGAGTTTTGAATTGGTTTTTGATCAAAAGGAAGTGCTGAGGTTGGTGTTCTTGAAGTGTTCTTCAAGGGTAAGAACTTACCCTTTTATTTCCCATTTTTGCTTAAGGTTTTAGACCTATTTTTATATTGTTTTGAGCTTAGTGTATAACTGATAAAAGTTTTGTATTTTCATGCTTAAGATGTTTCATTAAGGTTACTTTTGTGTTGGGGGTTGTCCACCCCCTCTTAGGCCTTGTTTGGTCTCTTTTTGTGCCTTCCTCTTTGGGCTTTGTAACCCCTTTATTTTGGCCTTCTCACCACTGAAATCCAGAGGATTTTCAATGGTAGAGAAGTACTTTTGAGGTCTTGTATAGGGGAGGGACACCCCTCTCCCCTTGTAACTCATTTGCTTACATTTAGGGCTCATAAAGGTAGCATGTTTGCATAGTTTTATTTGGCTCCGTTTCAAAGGGAATTTGGTGTTATTATATCATGTTAGACCTCTATTTCATGTTGGTTCGATGGCCTATTTTTTGCATCATGCACTTGCTTTGTAATCCCTTCTGTTGTCATGACATGTACCATGCATTTAGACCATCGTGCTTGCATATTTTAGCTTGACTTCATGAAGCTTTTAGCCATGTTGTGACATGTTTAAGCTCTTTTTAGTGTTGATTCAGTCATGTTTGCCATGTTTTGTATAGCCACCATGTATCCTAGCTCGTTAGCTTTGAGTGTATGAGTCATGAGCATGCTTTATTTGGGTTATGTCAGTGATTTGGAATCATTTATCATGCTATTTCAGTCCATGTTCCATGCTTGTATGCTTGCATTTACCACCCCTTTCAATGCTTTGAAGAGTTATTGTCTTATGCTCCATGTATGGACCATTGTATGTGCCTCCATGATTAGGTCTTTGGGAGGCCTTCTCATTGGGTTTTGGGGCTTATTTTGACATATTATAACTCTAATTTTATCAACCTAATTCATGCCATGATCGGTTGCAATAGGTGTAGTGCATTTACCCTTTTGGGCCTTGTATGTGTCTTGTTTCGTGCTCGCCTTTATAGCATGTTTTGGCCTCATCCTGTGTGTGTTCTAGCCTTGTTTTGGTCTTCCTCGGGACTATTTTGGGTCATCTTAGCCCTTTGGGGCTTGGTTGATATGGCCATGGTGTAAGCCCTTTGACTAGCTTTAAGCATTGAGTCCATTGGCATGCTATGCTTCACTTGTGTTTATGATTTGACATTATTCTTCACATGATTTCAGAGTTCATTGCATTGTCATGTTCCCATGTTTGTCCCATTTTTCTCATGTTTGAGCATTGTGCATTGTTGCATAGTGTTTAGACCAATATGTGTACATGTTTGTTTCACATGTTGGTGCCTTTCGGTTTAAATCCGTTTGGGCATGTTTGCATTCATGACATTTGCATGCTTGTATTGCAATATGTTCGCGCGATTCAGTATATTGCATGATGCTTAGCTAGTTGTATCACATAACTTTGTTGTATGCTTGGCATGTTCATGTCACATTAGTTTGAATTGCATGTTTAGGTTGTGTTGCATTTGACATGTTTGTTACCTTAGTTTTGTGTACATGCTTAAGTCACATTGCACTTTTGGCATGCTCATGTTACATTGCCTTACACTCCCATGTTGCATTGCATTGGTTACATGCTTTGCATTGTGTATGGCATACATATATTGCATTATGTTTAGTTTGGGGTGTCAAATCAAACATGAAGAATAAGGGACGTTCGTACTTGGAGTGACGAAACATACCTCAATCCTCGGTCGCCGACTCGCCGACACTCTTGATCCTACATGATAGAGTGTGTAGCATTCATTTGTTTTGTTGCATTCATTCATATTGATTTGCACACTTAACATCTTTGGCCACTATGCATCGAAATGCGTGATTGGTGGCCCGAGGGTCGAGAGCCATACTCCCATGAGTTCATAGCATGATAGGGAGGGTAGTCATGCATACATTTGGCTTGCAAATTCCATGCCATGCACTGTCTATCCTCTGTTGCAGCAAAACCAGTATTTTGCAGGAAGAAATGGCCGGTCGGCAACTTTCAGTGCCGACCGACTATCAATACCCAGCCGGTGGTCCCATTTTTGGTCGATGACCATATTTCCATGGTCGGTGGTGTTTTCTCTCGGCCGGTGGCATCCCAAAGTGTTCAGGGAGTGGTTCAGAAGCAACCTTAGGATTTTCACAATTATCAGAGGTGCAGAACAGTGCAAACAGAGGCAACAGAGACATGGCAACAGGTTTCCGAGCAAGGCAAATCGAGCATGCATCATCCAATCATTCCGAAGCGGAGCTGCGACGGCCCTTTGAATTTCATAGTTAGTTTATTTTGTAATTAATTCATTAATTAATTAAGGGACTGTAATAATTAATTAGCTAGAGTAGTTAATTATCTATTGGGCTTGTGTTATTTTTTCGGACCCTCCGTCGAGAGGGCGAATTTGTAATAAGTGTGTGTGCGTGTGTGAATGTCTTCCAACCCCACGTCTTTCTCCCTTTTATTTACTAGCTTTTGATGGTTAGTTTAGGGCATATTTCAATTAGCACACTTATGCTCGCATGTTTGCATCATTCATCCGTATTGCATGCACCGAGCTTGGCGCATCATACTAACTGCATAGTATTTCAAATCCAACTTGAATACGTGTATCGAGTTGTTACATTTCACATGCCATCCTTAGATTAGCCGAGCCTATTCTAGTTTCATTTTGCCTGCGATGCATTAGCCATTTTAACATGGACTTAGATCATACATTTGATTACTAACATGTTTATTGTTTTGGCTCGGAGTACACTGTGAGTATTTATGCTTTAGCATCTTGCATGTATGTGAGTGCTAACATGACAGTATGCTTGCCATGAGGTTAATTGCTTATGTGATATAACTGCCTGAATGCCTGTGGGTGAAGGTTGGGTTATTTAAATTGGAACAATTCACCAATTGAGAGCTTTAAGCCCACTTGAGAGTGGCAAAATCATGTTTTCTTAAGCCCACTTGAGAGTGGCAAATCCACGTCTTAGCCTACTTGCGAGTAGCACCATCAAACCATCTTTCAAATAAACAAACATGATATGTTTTGTTCCAACTCAAACGATCCAGTCTATACTTGTATGTTGTGTGCATCACATAGTAATTCTAGGCTAATAACCGGAATAAGAGCACATAAAAATTTTCAAAACTCGATATCATGGTTAGTAAAGGCCGATCTTTGATCGGGCGAACGGAGGTGCTCACGAAGTGACCTTCCCAAATCGTACCTAAGTTCCCGAGCCGAGGCAACTTTGGTGATGACGGACACGTGGCCTTAGGCACGAGTCAGGGTTTTTTAAATTTCTCAAAATAAAATATTTAGATGGCGACTCTGTATCTGGCAAAGTAGTTCATGTTTGACACTTCTTTCTAAAAATCAGTTTTTCAAAACGATTTGCCAGATTTGGACTCCTTGATGATTCATTGGTCTTGCATTGCACTCTGCGAGATTAGATACAAGACCATGGCATTGAGTCTAAACTGTAGTAAGCCCCAGTGAACAAAACGGGATTCCCTCCCTGGGACGTTCGGGGACGTCTACAATTACCGGGAGGATTATACAAGCCGGAGCGATCGACGGAGAGAGTGAAAGAGGGTTGAGAAGTGGCTTCAGTGGATTAGTTTGAGCCCTCCAAGGGTTCGACAAAAGTACTGTTTCCGATTTGGGACAGTGAAGATGAAGAAGAGGAGCATTGTCGAAAAGCTGTTAAGGGACCTTATCACAAAATAATATTGTAGATCTCTTCCATCACAAAAAATGGGAGAGGGACCTTAGACTAATTTTCTCATTTATAAATAAATCTATCAAGTCACAATTAATGTGCAATTTTTTAAAAATTTTACATTGAATTGTTATTTCATTTTCTTTTTTCTTTTTTTCTTTTTTACATAATATATATAACTCATTCTAATGGTGGAAAATCAAAATTTTTATTAAACTTTTAAAAATGTATACCTATCTCAAAAATTTTATTTAGCCAATTCAGATGGAAAAATTAATCTCTAATCTTTTAACAAATTCATCAAATTAAGAAATATATATATGTTAAAAATTGGATAAAAGATATTATGTTTCCTTAATCTGATCATTTTTTTTGTTTTATTTTTTTTGGGTAAAATTTTAATTTGATACAAATTTAATAAATGAATTAGATTTCATTTTTCTATATGAAGAATCTGAGGAAGGAGTGGAAATGATCTTATCCATTCCTTCACTATTGGAGTCGGGCAGACTTGCACACACATATATAAGCCTAAACCTAAATTTTTTGAGATATTTGACACATATAAACCTAAACACAAATTTTTTGAGATATTTGTAGATTGGAGAGAGAGAGAGAGAGAGAGAGAGAGAGGATCTTTGCCTTGGGCACTAAAAAACCCAGCTGTTTTAGATCACGACAAGCGATGGGTAAGATCTCATTCTGGGTATTTTTTTTCCTTTTCATTCTTCATTTCGATCAACAATTCAATCCATATTTCTGAATTATGCCCCTTGCTTTTTGGGTTTCTTGTGAAAAGATTTTATTTTTATCTGGAAAATATTAGGGTCTGTAAATTTGTGAGATTTGGTTTCATTTGATTGCGTTTCAGAGCTGTTTGTTGATTTTTTTTGAGTGTTTGTGTGTTGATTGTTAATTGGGTTCATTTTCTTTTACCATTTTGGAAGCAATTTTTTTGAGTTTGGGATGGAATGGTTTGTGTAACTTTTTTTGTTTTCAAATGTAAAGAAACAACATTTCCAAATTGTGTATGCATAGAGGTGTGAAAGCTAGAAACAGAGGGATTGTTTTCATTTAGAATTAATACAAAAGTACTTAAAAATTGTTGACTAAAAAAATGGAGTTGGGGATGGATCTAAATTATAATTCAAGCCATAAGACGACCAGGAAATAAATTCAGGAGGGGCAACTAGTAATTACAACGTCAAGATTTTCTTCCTATGATCAACAATAAGATCAAAATTAATTTTTGAGCTAATATTAATTATTTGGCATAGTTACAGTGGCCTCTCGTAATGTTTTAATTGATATGACACTTGGCCCTCTTTTCATCATGAATTCGTTAGTCGCATGAATAAAAAAATAGTATTGCCACTTCTTTTACATGTTGCTTTAGTCAAATTGTGTTATCTGAATTGAAGATACCCTTCTTCCTACCAAGTACTTGGTGTACCATTGCTGCATTCACGGGTCAATTCTGCATTCATCATTGTAGGCAGTCAAGTACTTGTTAGTCCAACTACCATTCTGTTAGACTTCCTCTTGTCTAACTTTGATTGTTATTTTTATTCAAAGTTCCCTTTATTGGCAGAGTCATTATCCTGATTGCACATTAGTAAACTATTGTCTGGTGAGCATTAATTTCTATTCATCTGTGATGCCATGTTCATTTTAATTGCTTCAATTTATTGGCATGTTTTTTATGAATGTGGAACCCTAGTAATCCAAGGTGAAATTGATAATTGATCTATGCTATGAAGGCAAGAAATTCACATTTAACTAATTAGATTATGGATCCGTGACAATGAAAGATAATCCTGGAGACCTATTCTACAACTTGTTTGTGCTGCCTGTGTTCTTCTTTCTTTCTTTGTTTTTTTTTTTTTTTTTTTTTTTTTTGTTTTTTTAAATCCCTTTTTGTATATTTATTTGCAATGTAGATTGTAGTGGTCACTGATCACCGTGTACCTACTAGTGAAAGTTGCTCCTATGATCACACTACCATTCAAAGAATGTATGTTGACCTCTTGGACAGTTGCACTAGGCAACTTTTATGTCTATACTAATTCATTAATTCTAGAAGAAGAACCTTGGGTTACATAATAATATATTAAGGCCTCAATTGTGGTGTGGTGTGGTGTGCATCAGCCAAGTGATAATTTGAATAAGAAGTGTTAGTGTTGTATTATGCATTGTTGAATGTTATAATATAAATGAAAAATGTTTAACATTGTTATATTTAATTTTATGTAAATGATGGCATTTACTTCCGTTAGCTTCTTACATCTAGCATTTTCCTGTATATTGTCACATTCACATATAATGTCATCTCACACACAGCTATTCTTAAATTGTACTTTGTAAATATTAGTGAATGATTGCTTGATATCTTATTGGACTAGTCATGTCCTCCATCACGTATAAGCAACCTGGGGCTCTTTGATGACCAGCATCTAATATTATAATCATAAAGCGTGTTGTATCAGCATATCAAAAGTCTTGTATTTGTGATATGCAATCTACGTGAAGAATATCGGAAGTTGCTAAGCTTGTAATTTTATGATTCCCAAGTTTGGGTACAGTAAGGAAACTGTAGGATCGGTGGTGTTTTATGTCTCGGTGCTACATGAACTCTATACGATTTGATTTTGTTGGAAAGTAGTTTTCAATAGTATGCTTCTTCCTGTCTTTAGCAAATACGAAACTACATTCACAATAATATTTTTGGTCTCACCGCGTCATGTTGCCAAGATCCAAATGTAACCTCTATGTTCTGTAATTATTGAAATGCAACTTAGCCACTATATTATAAAGTAACCATTCCCTTTTGCCATTTAGTTCTTGTAGGTTCTTCAAGGAGTCAATGCTAAGCATAATTGAACAGGCACCCATATTTTTTTAAGCAAACTCAGAATCAGTATGCCGGGTTTTGCTTCAAATGCCAATGTTGGAGCCAATTGGGTAAAGAATGACATTTCCAAGCCTAGTCAGCCTGCCTCAGATTATTCAGACGACGAAATTTCCTTGAACAATGGAGAGGAAGGACTGGAATGCCCAATATGCTGGGAATCCTTCAACATCGTCGAGAATGTGCCCTATGTTTTATGGTGTGGTCATACCCTCTGCAAAAATTGTGTCCTAGGGCTCCAATGGGCTGTTGTGAAACTTCCCACTTTACCCATGCGGCTTCCATTTTTCATTTCTTGCCCATGGTGCAACCTACTATCCTTCAGGTGGGTACACAAAGGGAATCTCAAATTCCCCCGGAAAAACTTCTTCCTCCTCTGGATGGTCGAGAGCATGAACGGTCATAGATTGAAATCTCATTCTCAGCTCTGTGGTGATCATCAATCACCCAATCATGGTAGACAGGCAAACCATAGCCGTGCTCCTTGTGTTCATCTCCCAGAGCAGCTGGATTCGGACCATGATCCGGGTAGTATTGTCAGAAGCTTCCTCAGTGCAGAAAGAGTCCACTTATCTCTTCGTAAGTCGGTAATATTCTTTGTTCACTTGACAGCCAAATTCCCATTGGTGATCGTGTTTCTTGTTATCGTCTTGTATGCAATACCCACCAGTGCAGCTATCTTGGCCCTGTATATTCTCATCACTGTTTTGTTTGCTCTCCCTTCTTTTTTGGTGTTGTTCTTTGCATATCCTAGTTTGGATTGGCTGGTTAGGGAAATCATCAATTGAGTTGGGGTACAACAGCACTCTCATCTTTGTCAACATACCTTTTTTGATTTTTGGAACTTGAGGAGATTTGCATTGTTAGTTTTTTTTTTCCTTGACACTGAAACATTGTCATCAAACAAATCAAATGTTTTTGCACATGAAATGATATCGGAGGAGATTTCAATGCTCCTAGGATGGCTTCGACATGATGTTCCTTTAATCGATTGAACAATTAGTAGTGGGATTGTGTAATGGCTGAGCTATTGCAGGAAAATTGTTGAATTGTCTTTGTTGTACTTGTATTTTTTCTAATAATATCATATGAGTTGAATATCCATCCGTTGTTTCCCTTGTGTTATTATCTTTATTTTATTTTTTTCAGTATGTTGTTTAGTGTTTCTGTTTTCTTATGGGTGAACTGTAGGATAAATACATTTGTCAATGCACAAAGAGTTGCTTATTATGTTCTTTAAAAATAAAAAATAAAAATAAAAATATTAAAAAAAAAACACTGAAATTTTTATTTTTATTTTTTTGAAATAATGAAAATTATTTTTGACAAAAATAATTGTCAAAAATTATTTTTACGGTGATGAAAGGGATATCAAATTTTTTATCAAATAAATAATCAAATGTCTTATTTGAGTGGGGTATAAATGTAAGACATTTGATCATTTATTTAGTAAAAAATTTAGAAATTATAACATTTTCTTTATTTTTATACTTTAAAAAAACTAAAATCATATGAAAGTGACGGGTGTTTTGACCAGCAGAGCAATCTTGGCTTCAACATCAAGGCCCAGTCCTTATATGGGTTGGGCCCAGCTGTTTGGGGTACGAGCTTGGGCAGGATAATCTCAGTAGGCCTGGGCTTGGCGATGGGCCTTGTAGGCCTTTCGGGCCTAATGATAACCTTACATAGACCATGCACCATGATTAGAATCTTCGAGTGATGAATCAAAACTATAGTAATCCCTTCTTTTTGTAGTAAATTATATTGATCTTCCTCTAGTAATCGAAAAATTAAAGTCAATCGTACAACTTTGATAAAATTATATTATCCTCTTTTACAATAAGGATAGTTTTTTTGCTGATAAATTACCATACTATCTATATATATTATGTAAGGAAAAGGATGTTTTTAATGAGAAATTTTATGAGAGTTTTAATATCTCATACTAATTTTCTTGATATTCTTAATTTAAAATAATTAAGAAAATCTTTATTGTTTAGCTTTTTTTTGATAATCTGACATCGGAAAAAAAAGGGGGAAAAAAATGAGTTGTTTTACTCATATAAAGAGAATTTTATACTCTCATCTTATTCAATGAGGAGTTTTGTGAGAGTTTCAATATCTCATACTAATTTTTTTGATTTTCTTAATTTTAAACAATTAAAAAAGTTTCCATTGGCTAGCTTTTATTTGATAATCTCACATCGGGGAAAGAAGGGAAAAAAAATAGTTATTTTACTCATATAAAGTGAATCTTATACTCTCATCCCATTTAATATTGTAATGTTGTGTATGTTTAAACTACCAATAAGTCTTAATAGTTGGACTTAATTCCCATATAGTCCTATTGAAAATAAGTCATAACAAAATCGTTGCTAAAAATTATTTCCTGCGACGATTTTGTGTCGCTAAAAATTGACAATTAGCGACTTTTTTGTCACAATTTTTATAAACTATTGCTAAAATTTACAATTAGTGACGTTTTTCTGAGACAAAATTTTCAAACTGTCACTTAAAGTTGGAAATTAGTGATTTTTTGTGATAATTTTTTTAAATTGTTGTTAAAACTTATAATTAGTGACATTTTTATGACAATTTTCAAATTATCGTTGAAAATTAATAATTAGTGACATTTTTTAATAGTGTTTGATGAAAAAATTCATTAATTATCATAGAACCTATACGTAAGTTCCCTTTATGATCTAGCCGATTAGGCTAAATCATTTTTGATTTGATTGATTTGTTGGTTTTAGGTTTGTTTGATTTGAAATAAACTAAAGATTGATCTGATTAAAAATTGAAAGACTGAGATTGCTGGATTAGAAATAAGTTTTCCATCCAAATAATTGTTAACTTTTATTTTATAATCCCACATCGAAAAAAAAAAAGAATTGTTTTACTAATATAAAATGAATCTTAATAGTGTAGTATTGTGTAAACTTCAATTTAAGACAGTTTAAATTTTAAAATTAAAATAACATTTAAAAGTTTAATTAATTTATTTTGTTATAAGTTGGTTGGTCATTTGACCTAACCGATTGGGCCGAACTATTTTGGGTTTGACCGATTCGGTAGTTTAATTGCGATTTCTCATACTGATTTTATTAATTTTAAACAATTAAAAAAAATTATATCGGCTAATTTCCATTTAACCATATAAAAATAAAACTCTAATTAGTTTATGATTTATTTTATAATCTTACATCGGGATAAGAAGAAAAAGCAAAGTTTGTTTCACTACCTATCTATATATTATAAAAAGAAAATGAGATTTTTAGGGAGAAGCCTTCTGGGAGTTCCAAACCCTTATTCTAAAATTATTGAATTTTCTTAATTTTAAACAATTAAGAAAATTCTCGTTGGCTAATTTTCATTTACCTTTTATTTTACAATCCCACATCGAAAAAAGAAGAAAAAGTGAATTTTTTCATTTACATAAAATGAATCTTATTCTCATATTTATATAAGTAAAAGGAGATTTTTAGTGAGAAACCCTATGATCAATATCTCATACTCATTTTTTTGATTTTCTTAATTTTAAACAATTAAGAAAATCTCCATGGCTAACTTCTATTTAATTTTTATTTTACAATCCCACATAGACGTTTTGATTTTAAAAATAATTTTGTATGAGATTTTGAAACTCTCATAATATTTAACTTTAAAATAATTACAATCCCACATCGAAAAAAAAAGAAAAAAAAAGGTGAGTTATTTCACTTATATAAAATAAATCTTATAAAGGGGGTTTTAAGGGAGAAGCCTTCTAGAAGCTCCAAACCCTCATTCTAAAATTATTGAATTTGCTTTATTTTAAAAAATTAAGAAAATTCTCATTGGCTAGCTTCCATTTACCTTTTATTTTACAATCCCAAATCGAGAAGAAAAAAAAAAACAAAAAAAAGGAAAAAGTGAATTGTTTCATTTACATAAAGTGAATCTTATGCTCCAATTTATATAAATTATTGAAATTTTTTAATTTTAAATAATTAAGAAAATCTCCATTGGTTAGCTTCCATTTAACTTTTATTTTGCAATTCCACATAGACATTTTGATTTTAAAAATAATTTTGTATGAGATTTTGAAACTCTCATAATATTTAACTTGAAAATAATTACAATCTCACATCGAGAAAAGAAGGAAAAATGAGTTGTTTTACTTATATAGAGTGAATCTTATACTCTTATTTAATATTATAGTATTGTGCATGTTTCATTTCAAGATGGTTTAAATTTAAAAATAAAATTTAAAAATTTTAATTAATTAATTTTTTGTAAATTGGTTGATTTTTTGATTTAGCCAATTAGGCTGAATAGTTTTCGGTTTGACTGATTCACTAGTTTAATAACGGTTTTAGCTGTTTTTATCAAAATATATTGCTTAGATTTGTTTGATTTGAAATAAACTAAGATTGACCTTATTAAAAATTCAATGACTGAGATTGCTTGATTAGAAATGAATTTCTCGTCCAAACAACTGCTAACTTTATTTTATAAACCCACATTAGGAAAATGAGATAAAAATGAGTTGTTTCACTATATAAACATTATGCTTCGATTTAATATTGTAGTATTGTATATGTTTCAGTTCAGGACAGTTTAAATTTTAAAATTAAAATAAAATTTTAAAATTTTAATTAATTAATTTTTGTATAAGTTAGTTGGTCATTTGACCTAGCTAATAAGGTGAATGGTTTTCAGTTTGATTGATTTACTGGTTTAACTGCGATTTTAGCGATTTTATCAAAATATATTGGTCAAATTTGTTTGATTCGAAATAAATTAAAAATTGACCTAATTAAATACTAAACGGCTAAAATTACATGATTCAAAATAAATTTTTTGTCTGTGGTGAAATAGATTTAGAAATACTCTAGTCCAAACAGACCTTGATCCTCTCTTTTCTAAGAGCTTGATTATGTCTCTCTTAATCTTTTTCTTTTCTCCCCAATTATCCTCTTTTTCGTGTGATTATGGCTCTTTTTTTTAATAATGTTTCCCAGGGGCCCACTTCTTTCTTTTGGGCCTTTTCCTTGTCCTTGGGACCCATAACCCATGGGATATACGACCTTGATGGCCCTCTAACTTGGTTTTACTAGGCTATGTCCCTTTCTTGATAGACCCGTCATCAGCTGGCTTGTATTCGACCATCTTTTCCATTGGTTTAACGCATGGACTGATGGACCGTTTACTGGCCGATTTATGCATGGCCTTTTCTTCAATTGGCCAACTTATGAGTTTCCCTCAATCTCATTTATTTGGCCACCATAATTGCCCCCCGAACACGTAATTAATATCTGTTTAGTTGGCGTAGTCGGTAACTAGATTTTTCAGCTTAGAGTTATTAGACCTCGAGAGTCAGAAATACAGCGCATGCACGTTTTTTAGTATTGAAACGTCAGAACAGGCGCGATATGAAGTCATCATTGCTTCCCGCCCCTTTGTATTTGACACTCATTTAATGTGATTTAAAAATTATCCCTCCGTATGTTTTGAATCTTGGCTCTTTGGCATTTTTCACACCGTTCATCCTTTTTCTAGACTTCTGCGATTTCAACTCTGCTTTCTATCGCTCTTTTGCTCTGGCCTGTAAGTCCCATTCTCTCTTCCTTTTTTGCTCGCATTCCAATTCCCTTGTGTGTTGTTTATATTTTCTTCTATTCCGTCTTAAATGGTGACTCATTTGAAAGCTCTCATCTTTGAGGAGCGAGTCGTCGCCTTCCATCGTCACTTTTCAATCCCAGACGACGTCCATTTGTCTCTTGTTGCAGACAATGTGGTCGACATGGAGAGGGCTGACGCAAATACCATCGTCTTTTTTCTTCTGTCAATTGCTGAGGGTGGAGTTCGTTTCCCCCTACATCTTTTCCTTTGGAGTGTTCTACGTTACTGGGGTCTAATTCCCTCTCAAACCAATGTGAATTTTTACAGTATAATCATGAGCTTAGTAGAATTGAACCGCCTACTTGGGTTTGACCTGGGAATCCCAGCCATTCGACACTGCTATGGCATAGCAAAATCAACAAGTCGCCAAGACCGTTACTTCCTTAGAGCCAAGGACATAGATCACCATTTGGTGGCTATGCTTGCCAGCTCTGGCAAAA